CTTTAGGATGAACCTGAGTCCTGATCATTGGCCCGCAGAATCCAGTGACAACCATTCAACTGCATTCTTTACCTGTGGTTGAAGTTTAGGTGGGGTTCACTTTCTGTGGGATGTGAAAAAGTCAATTAATGTGTTTGGAATGAGAGACAGATATCTCCATTTTTCTGGCAGAGGAAAGAGATGTTGGTGAGCATGATTTCTCTGGCATATGTGACTTTTTCTGTGACATCCTGACAAAATGCTGCCTATAGACACAAAATTCTTCCAGAAATCTTGGTGACTTCATATTATGAGTGCAACATTATATAGCATTCATACTGGTGTGATTCCTTGCTCTATGGTTCTATAGAAAAAAAAAAAAAAATCCTGCTCATTTATAAATGGATGGGCTTAATTTCTGGTGAACCTATGAACAAATTATTAGCTTGATCTTTGAGGAGGTCTTCTACAGTTTTCTGGAATTCCTATCACAGGACAATGGTTTTGTACAAATACAGGATGATCTTCACAGCTTCAGAAATCTGTACTAAGGAACTGACCCAGCATGGGCTGGTGCCTACCAGATGCTTCAAACAACTTCTGCTGTTCTTTAGAAGCTGACAGATTCTCTAAAAACAGGTCATTCCTTCCCTTTCCACCTCCTGATATTGTTTTCATTACACATGTACTCTAAATACTTTTAAGAAAAAGCAGACTAGTAGAAAAATATTATGCTAACTGGAAGTATTGTATAACAGATGCCCCCTTTTCAAATTATGCTCTCAATTTTTTTTCTGGAGCTGAAACACCAAGCTGAAACACTACATGCTTTAGAAAGCAGCTCAGAGAAACAACTAAACCTGAAATAGTCAGTGAATTTAGATTCCAGCACATCTATCCTGGATACCTTTTGATTTGGTTTAAATCCAGTGTATTGCATAAGAGCACATTGTAAGAGCACATACTCTTTCCAGCTTACAAAGTCCTTAGTAGCAGATCCAGCATAGAGCCCACCACAAAACAGGAAGGCTTTCATCACTGCAAAAAGGGTCTAACAGTTACATTGCAACCCTAAAAAGGGAAGACTGAAGTATAAGTTCTTTCACAACCAGGAATAGCAACAAATGAATTAAAAGGAAGACCAGAAGTCATCTTGTCCTTCCCAGCCAAAACACTTGTGGCTTATCAGAGGGGCTGGTGTCAGAACAGGAAGGGGCAAAGCCACATGCTTCTCTCCCAGAGCCATCACATCTGGTCCTCCTTTGTGGGAAGACCAAGATTCTTCCATGCAGGGAAATCAGGTGGTGTCTATTCTTCATCAGGCCTCCAGACAGAGGACTGTCTGTGGGTGATGCCTACTTGCTGTACATTATCATCCCTTCTACTACAACATCATTGGAGAAAAACAGATAAAAAGGCATGCTCCTTCTCACAGCCTTGCTTTCAATTTCAAATTGGTTGTACCTGTCTCAAGTTCTTAGCAAAAGGTGATGTTATCAGTGTAGGAGACTCACGTTACCTTGTAGCTTTTTGTAATTAAACCAATCTCCAACTTCGTATTTTTCAGTGTTCTCTGAATTCTAATGCTTCTAATGAGCATATTCAGACGAAAAGTAGAGTATTTCCAGGTTTACTTTTTGAAGAATGAAAGGGGAAAATAGGTTTTCAGGGAACACACTTTTCATGCTAAGATTTTTTTCTTTACATCAAATTAATTCCTGCACATCCACAAAATAGAAGGAAAATGTGTTAGTGTTTTAGCTTTTGTGGTAGAAGAGGGAGGAAGGGATTAGAAATTAAAAATAGGGTGGTATTTTCATCCTACATTTAAATAATTAATAACAGTTTTTTCTAACATGAAAAGCAGGAAATTACAATTTTTTTTTTTAAAAAAAGCAATTATTCACATAATTTCTTCTCATAATCTCCAGAGCACAAAAATATTTTTTTTTTACTGCATGATTACTTAGCTTAATTACTACCAGTGACATTACAAGTTTTTACAGTACATTAAGAATTGTTAGTTGAGAAAAATGAGAAACAAAATGCTGTGTTTCACTTATCAAGAGCAGAGTAATATGTATAAAACCATCTGTTTTACAGAAGAAAGTCAAAAAATTTTTACATTTGGAAGGAGCTAAACCAAACATTAAGTAATATTTTTCATTGGATCATAAGTATTTTAGAAGTCAAGCAAGAAGGACTAGTCCCTGTCAAGTATATGTAAACAAAAAATACACAATCATCATGCAATTCAATGCATGTTTTAAATAACTGCTGCAGATTAACTTAGGACTTTTCTTTGGATAAAAATCTGAATATAATTTATAAAATGCTACTGCATTTTTACGGCAATGGAAAGCTGCAATCTCAATTTCAGAATAGAAAATTTACGGAAAAAGAAGAATAATCCAAACCAAATTTTAGTCTCTTTGCCTCCCCTCCCCACTCCCCCCGATTTGTTTCTTTCTTTTCAAAGGCTTTGCATTATTTGTGTCTCTATAATTATTTCTTCTCCAAGATGACATTCCTTTCTTTTTTGTGATCTTCTGAGATTGTAAGGTAAATCATGGAAAACTACTGGACTTGAGAAGAAAATAACTATTAAAATAACTATTTGGTTTTAATTGGTGGTTTATTTTTAAAAATTTGTTGGGTTATAAAATTAATCTATCAAACAAAGGAATAATTTGACAACAGCCTGTAGCAGTCTCACAGCACTTATAAGGTCTGTTTTGAGGAGCAGTCTGATTGGATCCATTGGTACTGAAGAACATACATTCGTGCTCAGAAACTATGGATCATTTCATATCAACTAGTGCGCAAGATGTTGCCTTACACACCATTGGTTTGTGTCCCTTAACCACAGCCACAGAAAATCCCCGTTACCTTATGGAGCCTTTACTGCTTTTTTTTCTTTTGATGACATTCTGCTGACATGTCCAGAAGAGTGGAGCAGGCCACTCAGAAATCTCTCTGCACCTTTGAGTCTTTGCAATTTCAAAGACTGAAAGCAATGTAAGTGTTGTCTGAGATCCATACTCCTCTGTCTCAGTGTATGGGCTTGTCTTGGATTGCTTCCATGATTCATCCCTTCATGCTTAACCTGTTCTAAATCCTGCATATCTCTCTGGGACTACTAGGAACAGCACCTTAAAGACACGACACTATGTTTATCTGTGAAATGCACATCATGTTTGTCAAACCCTTACCATCTGCTCTGCACCCAGATAGTCCTAAGACAAGGCTTTTGTTGATGCACTTGTTGGTAAAAATGAAAGACAATTAAAAAAAAAAAAAAACTTCCTTGATATTCAAAGCTACAAATTACCTTCTAGTCAAAAATGTACATTAGACATGCCAAAATGCTACTAGGAATGTAACTCAGTGCTACTACTCTGTACTGACAAAAAATCTCAGTAGTCTACACCATTCAAGAAGCTGGTCTTAAACATAAAAATGCAAATGACATTTACAGAAAGACTTCACTTCACTTCTATGCTGTTTGAACCAGACCTGTTAACTTGGGATTTCCACAGGGTACAAACTGTTTCTGTAACCTCTCTGCCATTACTGGTATAGCTTTTTTTTTTCTATTTCCAAACAAAAGCAATATTCTTCTATATTTTATTTCATTATAATTGAGAACACATCAAATGAAAATAAAGGTTTTAAATAATTCTCTGAAGAAATGCATACACTGACAGACCATTTATTTATTTATGTTATATACAAAAATATGGCTATTAGCAGCAGAAGCAGTAAGACTTTAAGCAAAATAAAAACAAACTGCCTCTTTTTATTCTTGGCTTCTTGTGTGAATATTTTTTATAATTTTAAGAGTGGAGTCATTAACCATTAACAGTCCAGTGTCTCACAAACTTTGGGGTAAATAACTGAAAGTTCATTGCACAGATATTTATTTTGTGCAGCAAACTAGTAGCAAATCTGTACCAAATACAGACTCAGATTATAACTTTCTCTTCTGTAAATATCTGAGGGATGTAGGAAAAACATATCAGCCAAAAAAAATCATCCTCCTGACACCTCAAGAAAGATACTAGTCCTGTTACAAGCTCCTGTTGTGCTAAATCATGTTACAGTGCTTGTGGCAATAAGTTATACAAAGTGAAAATAAATAAACTCCAAAGGATTGCATTTACATTTTGCATCATTTACAAAGATGTATTTTTTAAGGGAAAGTAAACCTAATAGGTAAAATATAAGAATGAAACTCAAAATTCAAAGTCTGTTTTTTACTAAGTATTTTACTATGCAAATTACTAAGCATTCCTTTAAAAAACTCTTTCTCTGTGCTTATTTTTGGGGACTGGGTTTTAAAACAGTATGTACTGCTTTTGTTCACCTACTATGATTTGAGCAAATTGTCTTCATATTTATGTATTTCAGACAATGTCTCAGAGAAAGGATTTATTGTATATATGGTTTAAATCAAGAATACACTAATGCATATCATCTTCAGAAATAAAATCTGTACCTAAAGGCTGCAGCTTGCTTTTATCTGCATGGCAAACTGAACTTCTGAGCCAACCAGACTAAAAACTTACAAGTGATTGCAATCCAGACTAATACCCTGCAGTCTGAACAAGATACCACCACAAACGCAGAACTTACGTAATTTTCTGTGTGTGTTAGGAAGACTCCTATACATCTCACTTGACGTAAAAACTGGTATTCCAGGTGTTTGTCATGTAACTGTCAAAATAACTGTCCAAATAATTTCTTTAATTTCAATCAGTATATCTGTATCTATCATATAAAAATAAACTCATATATCCCAAGGTCAAGATGTGGTTTTCACAGCAAGACCTGGCACACACTTTTTATTAGCAGATAACAAATTATTTGTGAGTTAAGTATAACCGAATAAACTATTAACTTGTACCAAACTAGAGTGGGTGGCAACATTAAGCTAAGAAGTTCAAGAAACAAGTTATTTCCATCTCCTTTGGCAGAGCCCCCTTTGGCTGCTCCCAAAGCATAAGGAATCTACAACTTACCCAGAAACTGGGCTGAATCTGTGGTAGATCATTTCTTCTTATGGAAAAACCTGCAGAAAGACACCAGATGGAGGGAGGCAGAAAGTCCTTTCCACTAGTTGCTTCAGTAAGGGGTGGAAGCAGGAGGCTGTCCCAGGGTGGAAGCGCAGCCCAGGTGCCCTGGAGAGAGCAGGATTCAGAACAGGGCAGCTGGAGCTGCCTGCCAGCCCTCTGCAATATCTGCCCACCATTTGTAGCCTCTCTGTTTGGTTTCTGGGCATCCTGCAGAGGACCCTGCACTTCAGAGAGCAGCAGCTTGAAGAAATACTTAATCATAAAATGAGCAAATTCTCCTTCTGCAGGGAAATGGATACCTGTCCTATTTCTTGCCCCACCTCTGCATTCTGCTTCTTCAGAAGCGTGCAGGGGGGGATTTTTCTCATGCAATATTTGAAACCTACTCTTGCATTAACTCATTTCACATGGCAGTTCTGATCGTTCTGATGCATTTATGATCAACATGAAAAAACATTATTGAGGTCTACAAAAATGCAAACGAGATATGCAATTGAGTCCATCCTATTACTGATATGAGTGATCAGCCTCAGTGTTGCTATGTACTGCACAACATGAACTTTTTCTTTTGTTCTGTTTTTTTCCAAGTGAGATCCAGGAACCAGCTTACCACCTCTTAAATGTCATTGTTCCTAGACTAATCATATACACAGATGAGTAGAGATAAACATGTGGAATCCTAAACACAATGCAGTTTGAAGAGAAAAAAAAACAGCCCCAGTAATTCTTATCCCAGTACAGCACAGGTTGGTGTGTTGGAGCAGACTTCAGTACTGGCAGATGATAAATGAAATACATTGATTCCTGTATGACACAGCTCCTCTCTGTGTTTTAGCAATGGCCCATTGAATCTTGCTGGAACTGTTGTGATAAAGTTAGTGAAGCCTTTGACAAGATTCCAGTAGCAGGACTTATATATGCAAAATTCAGTCGATTATATTGTGAATATTATCAGCCTAATTGGAAAATATTTTCCTATCTGCATAGGTTAGACCATATGGTAATAGCACCAGTATCTAAAAACCAGACTATAGGTATTTCTAGCGTAAATAGACTGCTTGTTAATGCATATAGTTATTATTCTTTCATCAGTTAAATGTGTAGCTGATTAACACTTTTTCTTAATACAAAAGCAGATAAATATATTGCATTTCTAAAGAGTTAACCATAAAAGCATTTTACTTAACTTACCAGTTGTTGAAGCTGGAAGGAGTCTTGCCCTAAACACTACCTGCTCTCATGTTTGTAATATCTGTTTCTGTCTCCCACTGTCTCCCTCCCCCCTGTGCAGAGATTGCAGTAAACTTAGAAAACTAGCAGGGACAATGTTTCAAATGACTTAAGAAGGAGAACAGGAACAATCATTTCGTTCTGGGTTTTTTTTTTTTTTTTCAGATGAGTACAGTACCTTCAGAAAGAAGGAAGGAAGGGAGGGGAGAGGAAGTCAACAACCCTTTGCTTTCCTGCAAAAAATAAGGAAACAGCAGATAGCAATCTCATTTTCTCTCAAACAAAATGTTTGGAAAAATAAATATATCCAATCCAAAAGGAATTCCTCAAGTATTATATCTGCATTATTGGCTTCATAAAACCTTCTTTACAGCTTGTTATGTGCAAGTACATGAAATGAATTTCCAAAGTGGTAGGTAGGAATAAGACACCCGTATCTTATGCAGAACAATTAGCCGTAAGCTTGCATAGATAATGAAGGCTTGTCCTCTAGAGAAAGACTAATCATAGATGTATACACAGATCTTGTTTCCATGGTGATATAGGTAAAAAAAATGCCTAAAACCCCTGTTTACAGTGATCACAAGAAAATAGCACATTGGCTATTTATAGAACACTGTGGGGGGAAAAGAAGGGTGATGAAAGGGGTCAGAAAAATGGCAAAGATCGTATCTTGATACTGGTGGTACAGTAATGAGCAATTGATCTCAAAGAATGTCATTACAGAAGGCATACTGATTCATCCAAACAGAACCAATGTACTATGTTTTAGAACAGATTTTATACTTAATTTCTTTCTTTCTTTCTTTCTTGCTTTCCCCATTAAACATATTTTGACAACCAGATACTGGCCAGCTGGCTGGAGTTATACTTGGGATAAGTTTAGCCCATTGTGCTCCACTGAGGTTTTGTTTGCTTGTATCTTTCCCCCTAACTTTATCTATCATCTGAAGGTCACTTGCAGTGATTAGATGCTCCTTTTTTTTTCCCATTAATTTTTTTCATTCTAACATACTTGCCAGTAAACACCTTCACACTGGCATGAAGCTATGTGTTTAGTTTGTCTGCTATTGCAGCAGTGAATATGGAGCTGCTTCTCAACAAGCAATTCAGGTTGATTTCTGTGAAAGAGTTTTTAAAAAAAGCCTTTTCAAAAGGCCTTCTCCTACATACTCTGCACCCAGATTTTGCTCTGCAAGCAATTATCTAGATCAATGCTGCTGTAATAATTTAGATTACTACTGTAAATCCAGTTTTAATGGAAGGATGAGTTGTTATGTTATCTCATAGAGATTACTGTTTCATTCATTGTACAATAACAAGAATTGATAGGCTTTAAACCAACATAGGAAGTAGTTCTTCAGCACCTGTGTTCCTTCACATGATTCCTGGTTCTATTGCCTGAAGATATGTAGCCATAATTTGGTTGGAGAGGCTTTCATCTTAATATTCAGAAAATTAAATCTTTTATAATGGACATCAGCATTTGACAGCAGTGCAGGTGTTATCAGTGATCTCTGGCCTTACAACACCACCAGAGTTTTCTGAAATGGGCAAAACCATAGCATAAGGGTGAATTTTAAAAGCAAAAGTATGCAATGTACTTAGATTATAAACTGCAAGTGAAGTCTTTTGGAAATGGAGGTCCTAATCAAAGGTATCTCCTCTGCATACTGAGCACAAGGAAAGTAAGGCCACAAGCCTTACGAAAGCACATGGAAGGCCACAAAAGTAATGTGTTGTCCTGCAGGGTCAGCCTAATAGCACAAAACCTGTAATTTTGTTTTGAAATTGTTTTTCATGATCTTGAAGATAGTAGCAGCTTCCAGGCCATTCCAGATAGTTTTATATTTTTTTATTTCCAGGTGAAACCCCGTACACTGCCATTATGTAGCATCTTTATTTCTCTCCATCAGAAACCCTATGCAGAAGCATATTTGAAAACCTATCCTGATGAAGTTAGGATCATTACTAAGTAAATCTGTGAGTATATGTGATAGTCTGTGTAGTCCTCTGTGAAGGACTTGTCACAGCTATCCTATACTTCTTCTAAGAGCAGATTCCTTTTCTGTGAGGACTGCAAAGCTGAGGAGCTGCACAGATATCTACAAAGTACCTTCAACAGGTTATGAAGCTTTGCTATCCTGATTAAAGGGGACTGTGAGAGACCCCTACTTCAGCAAGGACAGCAGGAGATGGGAGGTCTTCTTTCACTTACTTCTACCTCATGTTCAATTGTCAGCAGCCCTTCCACCATTCAAGAGGTCATGACTTTGTTGCCCCAGCCAAATCCCAGCATGCAGCCACTGAAGTACTTGACCTGCTCTTACTTTTTCAAATTTCTCCCAACTGCTGCCAGAAAATCACAATCCATGAGGAAAATGCACTAAAACCGTGATTTTCATGCCGGAAAAATACCTTGCAAGGTTATATCTTTTGCAATGCATGTCTTTTGTATGTCAGGTCAATGTGCAATTACTGACTGTAGAGAAAAGAAAAAAAGCATTACAAAATCATTAGTATCTACAGTCATGCAAATCAAGTAGCAAAGCATGACACTATGATATATACCCAAGTTTTAAGGGACAAGTTGGTGTGCTTTTCAGAACATTTCTGTTCTGAAAATTGCCTGGAAATTGCCTAGTTTATTGTTATTTTTACTTTAACCTTTTCTCACTCTGCTGTTATCAAAATGAAGGCACTGACACAAATTCAGAGAGATAAAGTGTCAGCGTCAATGCAGTTAGATGAACACTATTGAGTGTAAATACTTCCTGGGTCCAGCACATAATGTCCGTAAGGAGTGGTGACAAAAAAAAGCCAGTATTGTGTTCATAGTCAAGGTAAGTCCTGAAGACCAAGAAGATTCCTCTAGTACCAGTTTGTATGATTAGACTAGACCTTTAATTTGATTAGCATATATGGAGTTAATTACTTATTAGCTTTTCTTATTTATTTCCTTATTTATTTTTTTCTCTTTTGCTTCATTAAGGAATAAATAGTGCTTCACAGTCTCTTTCTATTGACAGCAGGGATACTTTCCTATATGTTCAAAATAAGAATGGAATAAACAAGCTCAGCCTCTATCCAGCACAATAGGAGAGAAAAAAGAGGTAACTGCACCAATAAAAATATCCCACTTCATCCTGAGAAAATGAAAACAAAGGCAAAGCCTAGACAAATTTAGTGGTTTTCTTCATTGCTTTAGGACAATAATCATATATATCTGAACTGCCTGTGAAAAAAAAAAGATTAATATCTTCTTTCTGGTCTACAACATACCTGTGGCATTTTAGCTCAGTAAATACAATACAGTTCTCATTCAGAGAAAAAAGTACTGAAGGACATCAAATTGTTTTGCATAATCCCTCTCTTCTGTGCTTTCCTGGTCTCTTTTCTGCATTGCATGTTAAAGAGATTGTTCAGGAACAGTCTGGCAGAAGGCTAATGGAACCAGAGACAAGTACAGGCTGTCTCTGTCTCATCTAAAGAACTCCTGTGCTGCAGCATGTGGAGGACTTAACTCTAGTTACCAATATTAGATAATGTTTTGCAAATTATTGTATTGTGACACAATAAACCGGCATACACTTGTATGAATTTAATTTAGTTTCTCAGCTTATAATATATTAGAATTTAAGGAGATATTCCAAAGGTTTTATGCTACTGCTTATTTTTCATTATTATAGTATGACCAGAGTGTTCGCATGAGTATGTGTTTGCAGAGTCTAACTTATTACTGTTTTATCAATGTATTATTTACTTTTGAGACAGGTAACACCCAATTGCCACTTTAAAGAACAATTAACATTTGCACATTATAACCTGTGGACCAACTACTTACATGTCAATTGTTTCGGGGAGAGAAATGTGGAAATTTGTATCAAAGAGAGTCTTCCGGGCAATAAACACCTTACTGTAATTTAAGGTGGCCTTTACAACTTATCCTGGGCCAAGATAATTTCTGGTAAATGACATTGGCTGCAGTCTTTTAAAAGCATGCTTTTCCTGTACCCTGTATGCAACCATCACAACTACCTTTACTAAAACAATATGATTAAAAGCTATTTTAGAATTTGATGGTCTGATTAAGAGGATGTGTTTTCATCTTTTAGCACGCATGAAGTTATGAGAGCAGGATTGTGAGTCTTATTCTTTTAGTGCACAAGCATTTGGCTTTGGGCAGTGTGTTTGAATTTGGTGTCACACTGAAGATCTGTAACATGGGGAAATTGACAAAGTATCCACCAAGTTTTTTGGTGGTTTCTCAAAATGGCCATTTGACAGCAGTTTTACCTCTACATAGATATCCAGTATCTGTTCTGGTCTTTCTTCGTTATCTTGCTCAATTAAGTATGCAATGGGACTCTGATGTCCAATTACTGTACTGTAGTACTGAAATGACTTAATATGTTTACAGGTGAAGGCTGGGCATCTAATGTTGTAAAATGTGTGACTCTTCACTAAATATGAAGAGAAGGCATGTTTGCATATCCTTCCCTGTATAATGACGTTTCTTACCTTGTTAGGTCTTATAACAACTTCTTCTGGGATCTCGATATTCTATCTCAAGATTAATTTGAACAAAGTACAAATTTATCTGTTGGGTTTTTTCAATCAGTCTCCAGCTGTTGTAATCTATTTGTCCTTTCGTTTCTGACACATCTTCCAAAGTATTCAGTGGCTGTGCTACAGCTGAAGTTCTGTGGGCACTTTAAAAAGGCCCTTTCTGAGAGCAAAATGAAGAAGTACTACCTAGTGATGCACCTCTAGTTTATGGCTTCTGGATTGTAGAGACAAAAAAACATAAGGGAGGGAAGGGAGAAAGGAAGGGAAGGAAGGGAAGGAAGATTTAAGTAGTAAATTAAATATATAAATATATATAGATAGATAGATAGATGCACAGTTAATTAGTACCATAAAATCAAGCAGGATTTGTTCAACAATATGCAGTTTACATACTTTGGAAGCATTATATATGAAGATAAAGTAAGATGATAATCTTGGCCAAGACCTTGTCACTAATTGTGAGAAATACATGATTAGCTAGCATAGCTAGTCAGACAAAAATAACACAAATTACTTAATTGATTTCATAGGTGTGATTAATTA